AAGGATTCATACGTATAATTATAAGTATAGAAATACCTGAATTAGCTCGAACGTAAGGGCTGTTCCCAGGAGGAAGCTTGTGAAGGGCGTGGTAAGGAGGATCTTGCAGCTGCTTTTTCTCTTTCATTTATTCTTAGAATCTGAGGAGACAAAGAAATGGAAGATTTTTGGAGATGTTTAGAGGAGATTTTAGTTTTTCTTTCTTTCAATGGCAGGAGTGGAGAGAGACAAATGAGATTTTAAATAAATGGAAGGGTGAAACGATTCAAAGGTAATGTTAGTAGCAAGGGATTCACCCAATCCTATGATATTAGCTCCCAAGAAACATTTGTAACAGTTACTGTCACAACGTTTCTCCGTTAGACTTAAAAAAATTAATTTCGGGGAAGGCGATGAAGTTTAAGTTTTAAAACAATTCAATTTTGGAGTCGTTACCAACCTTTAAGTTAGGTAGGTTGAAAACATTAAACGAAAAAAAATGGTACGCGTTTTACTAAAAATTCATTTTTAAGAGTTCGAGAGTCGATTACGTGTGGGGAAGGGTTAGCACCCCCACAACGCCCAAATTTTAGTACCCAAACGATTACATATTGTTTAAATATTGGAAATTACAAACTTGAAAATATATTTATATTACGATCCTATTACTCATTCGAATGTATTTAAAAAGTATGAACAATCTTCGGGAAAGCATTTCCTTTGTAGTTAGGAGGTTTTCCCATAGATTCCCCCTCACAAAAACGTTAATTCGCAATTTTCGCTAAGATAAAATAAAACAACATAAAATTGAAAAACGGTGAAATATACTCGAAATAATTAAACGCGAAACAAATAAAATTATCGAATATAAGACAACATTTATGTGAAAAATCCTCGAAAAGACATTTTCCCTTTAGTTGGGAGATATCTTCGTAGATTTCCCTCACATTGAAATTTTTTCATTTTCGTATATTAAAACAATGATGATTTATATAAAAAAACAAGGTGGAAATAAAGTTTCATACAAAGAATACTTTCAACAACTACATAATTTATACACAAACATATATGATATTATAATGATCGATAAAAACAAAATTACAAATTTATATCAAAATGTACATTTACAAACATAATAAACTAAAATACTAATAAAGTATCTATTAAGGACTAAATTGCGAGAACAACAACTTTAGGGGTACAATATTAATAATATAACAAATCATGGCTAATATATAAATATCATTTAATATGAGTACTAAAACAGAAATAAATCCAAAAAACAACATGCAGGACCAAAATGAAAATATATAAAATATCAAGCCATCAACAATAATTTTAAAAAAATACTATAATAATAAATAAATAAGGACTGGAATGAAATACATAAAATATGCATTACTTAAATACAAATATACTAAACAATGACCAAACTGGAATAATACCATAAAAAATTTAAAACAAACCAGGACGAAATTACAATGTTAAACAAGATAAAAAGCCATTAAAGTTTCATTCATTAATGAAAATTGAAGGTTTACAAACTACAGTGACCAAATACAACATTAACCCCTAAATCCCAGGAAACAGGTATGAGTTCATAAAGAAATAGGGACCATATTTGCAATTAACCCAAATAAGAAACAGGTTGAACCCATCACTGTGTCAAATGACGTCGTTTGGTTGGGTGCTTATATACCCCCTTAAGCGTTTTGAAAACCCTTATCTCATTTCCCAACTTCCCCAATCACTCAACCCCTTTTTCTCTCAACTTCATCTCTTCATATCCCTAACGAACAAGCACCAAAGCTCCGACCACCACAGGTTGGTGGCCATGGGGAGAACCCACTCCCAGTCTTTCTCCTTCTCCCTCCTATCTCTAAAAATCCACAAACCGAACCCCAAAACCAAATCGTAAAAAACTTTTTACCTTCCGAGATAGATTCCCCCAGTTTCTGTGAAGCTATCAACGCCCGAATCTAAGCTAAGGTAAGCCATTCACTTTATCTCTCTTTGACTTTTTTCTTTTTGTTTTTTTCTATTTTTTTCGTTTTTCACCAAACCCCAAATCTCTCTATTTTCTCTTTTAGGATTCAAATTTTTTCTCTCATCTTTATGTGTTTTCCTCTCTCGTTTTTTTAACCCTCACCCGAATCCTCTCCCCTCTCTCTCGGTTCTCTCTAGTTCTTCTCCCTATTTTTCTCACCGAACCCGAATGTCTCCCTCTGAATGGTTGCTTTTCTTTTATGGTTGCATGTTGGTTTGGTTGATAGCCTGATGAGATCAGGTGGTAGGGAATGGTGGGTTGTTGTTTAGAGTATGGGCTCTGATTGATTTGGTAGGTAAACCCTAATTTTTTGGGGTTATTATCATTTAAAAATGGGTTTGGTGATATGTGACTTGATTTGGGTTTATTGCTGTAATTTATGTCACTGTTCGGCCAGAATTGAAGACGATAGTGTGGTGCACGACTGAGGATGCTCCGGTGAAGCTCACGCGCGTCTGGAATTTGAAAAATCGGTCGCGTGTATCAGACGCGCCGGTGAGGCGATCCACCTTCCTTTGGCGGTGACTGGATGACTTAGGGTTGCAAACCATAATTAATTTAGGTTATAAACGGGTATGGAGCTGGGTTTCGGGTATGGATCAGGTCTAATCCCATTTGGGTTGAAGAGTGGGTCTCGGTTGGATCTTGGGTGTTGGGTTTGTACCTGGTTGTAACTGGTGGGTTGGGTAGTTGGTTGATGGGCTTCGAGTACTGTTGGGCCTGTAAATATTAATAAAATAAAAATAAAAATAATAATAGCAATAATAATAATTATTGTAATACAATAATATAATTTTTTTGTAGACCCGGACAAAAACGGATGTCTACAGTTACAAACTGAATACAATTATACAGTTTATGAGGTATATTCTGTTTACAATTTTTTAACCATGATAATATATATATACCCTACAGTTATAATTATTTAAATCCAAGACCTTAAAAAATATCATTTTTTTAATCACTAAATTATTCAACGTGTTGAAAAATACACATCTAAATAATGTTTTTTTTAGGGGAAAATGAATGAAACTTATTCTTATCTTCTTCAGCTTTGTTATTTTTTTTAGACAGCTTGTAGATCTCTGCAATTTTGAAGCAAACTTTAACATACGAGATATTTATAAGCCACATTTGAGATCTGAATAAATGAAATGACCTTCCAGCTCAGTTGGTAGAGCACAAGGCTCTTAACCTTAGGGTTGTGATCAAGTCCCACGGAGGGCATTTTCATAATTCGGAGGTCTCCCACGGAAGTTGTTCTCAATCTGGCGTTAGAAGCAGCCTACTATCCTACCTCCCCTTACCTCATTACATATGGGAATAAGGGTCGGCTAATTTATTTGAGATCTGAATAGGATTACAATAAAGTCCTTTCATATGCCTGAGCTTAAAGAAAGAGACCATAAAAGGTTAAAAACGTGGCCTCCGGGAACTATATAAGGTTTCTGTTTGATGCTTGTAAGTTGAAACTGCGCACGTGATAGTGTGATCCAATTTTTATTTGTTATATCTTCTTCGCATGTCTCCCTTTTCCCCAAAAAACCTTCAAAGTCACGCATTATGCTATATCTTTTTACTGCTCTTCTAGAGTTCTTTCAGGTTTTAGAGTTTTATATTTTTCTTTTCACATGATCACGGTAAATTTACATGATTTATTAATAGTTAAATTTATTTGTTTCGTCGATAAATATATAAATTTAAAGAAAAAGAGTTTAAAATTTTATTTTTTTAAAAAATATGTATTTTTTAACGCATTAAATTAAATTTAATCATTTTTCTAAAAGATTGATATGCATTTAACCCTTGTGAAGATTTAGTACATCCACCTCTAACAACGAGTAGTTATCATGATCTTAGACTTGACACGAACATTAAAGATAAAGCTCTTTAACTAAGACAAAAAAGAGACTTCTTCTTGAACTCTTTTTGATACGCTTTAAATTTGATCAATCATACGACATGGATAGTATATAACTCCATTCTTTTTTTCATGGAAACATATAGTTTTTACATGGATTAATCGACATGGAAACATATTAACAGTTATCTATCAATTGACAATTTTTTATTTAAATCAAAAGATATAAATCACCTATAATATCTCCTAATCGAATCATTACATCAACCACTATTAAATTTCCATTTTATCTAAACATCGAACATACAAGTTATATTAGTTTGGTTTATTAATTACGAGGTAACTTGTTAATAATATTTTGAAGTTCCTGTTTTTTGTTTTGACGACAGGACAGGAAAACAAATATTTGGGCTTCCAAGAAGCGTATTTTATGGCTCAAATCAAGTGAACATATTCCATATAATTGGGTACCTTAGCAGGGATAGATCTAGCGTCGGTCCCTTAAAAATTTAAAATTATCACATATTTAATTTTTTTATATTTTCTATGAATAATTTGTTTTAATCCCTTAAAATTTTATTTCATTTTAAAATTTTAAAAATTCATTCTCTTAACATAACATCCTAAGTTGTTTAATAATAACAGAGCCTGTGACTTTGGAAAGTTGCCTATCCAATAATCTAAACTTTGGAAGAAACATCTGGGAGAATCCATCCAAACATATCCTGGAATCATGGCAGATGGTGGGTCTGGTTATGTTATCTTTACAAACAGGAGGAAAAGGCCTTCAATAATTTGGATGAGTTATAGCAATAGATAGTCCTTTTCAAGGGTTGCTTTGTTAGGCAGACGAGCTGATGGGACTAAGCCAGCCTTGTCATTTTCTGATTCCATGTGCACTGATCTTCCCCTCTATATAATTCATTGAAGATTAGGAGCAAATATAGAAGCATGAATATGGCAGCTTTGTGCTCAAAATCAGCAGGGATCCCAAAGCTCCGACTATGGCAGAGGTGCTCAAGGCTTGTGAAGGAGAAGAGAACACGCTTTTACATTATATGGAGATGTACGGTGCTGCTTCTACGTTGGGATGAGTGAAGTTTGAAGCTTTAGCTGCAATATTTAGAATCTCTGTATATTTGCAGGTTTGTAATTTAACTGAAAGGTTTGCTTGCTTGAGATACTGACGGGTTTCTTTTGGATAGAATCAGTGCAAATGGTGGCTTGCTTAGGTAGAACGTAGACAGATCTGTACAAGATGTAGTAATTGTAAAATGTCATGTGTTTGCTTTTAAATTTTAACCTCAAAAGGTGCTTTCCAACTTATTTTTAAAAGCTTAGGCAAAGCAAGAATTGTCTGAGGTTATTTTATGGTCTTAAGGAACAGCTTTTATTGTTAATTAATTTATCTATTTATTTTCTTTTTTAATGGTTGAAGAATGAGAACTTGACAAATGTAAATTACAACAACGACATCAAAACCGTATCCTATGAGTATACGGTTTGCCGTATATCATCTATAAGTATAGGGTTTCCGTATAAAACATGGTTTTCATTCTTGTATATCATATAATATCAATAATTAAAAAGAGTGTTATTCTCTTTATAGATCTCGGACTCGAGCCTTGAGTAACTATATCTACAAAGTATGTATAGCTTAAAAAAAAACTCTATACAGTTAATGTCTTGAATACTATTAAAAAATTAATAGTTTATTTTCCGAGACAAGATACGTCAAAAACTCGATGCAAATCCATCTTCACAAAATCATGTTTCAACTCCATATTTCATCAAGTAGTTTCAGATTGCTTGGAAGTTATAATTACAGTTCTCCTTATCTGAATATATATAGAAAAACCAAAAATAAAATCATTAAAGACACTCATAGCCACGCCTCGTCACTGGAACCAACCCTGAAAGTTATAAATTTGTTTCATCACTTGTTCTCGGCAGGCTAGTAGAAGAGTCTGAATCACTCTAAGCAGCTTTCTTTGTGGCTTGACCTTTGCTTTGGACTCCCTGGATCAAATTACACGTCACTTAGAAACTCCATACAAATAATAATAAAAATGTCTTCAGTTTCTTTTTCCTGTTTTCAGTTTAGTTTTCACGAAGGAAAAGAAATTATTAAAGCTTTGATTTTTATAAATAAATCTGAAACCCATTTTTCTTTTTAGAAATTGATGTTTCACAAATAGTTTCAAAACTTTTGAAGATGCAAATGACTCCAAATTCCGGAACAGATGAAGAATGTCCATCTGTGACAGACAAAAGAAGGAAGTGCTAAAATTTAAGTTTCCTTACACTCCCTTCTGAACAGTTAGCCTCCTACTTGATGGTGCACGCGCCATTGATGAAGCAGCAGCTGCGGCAACGCGGATTCTGCAAAACAGATGATATTTGCATCCATTCTTATTTTCCATTCTTTCAGGTGTAATTGAATGAGAATAAAGTTTCCAACAGTCCAATACCTTTTATGCACATCAACATATTCATCGGTTTCATCCACTATCTCCTCCTGCATTAGTAAAAGTGGTTAGCTAGTAAACCCTTTAAAGATAATGCTATTTGGACTAAAAAACGATATCATTTTAAACAATTTACTTAATTACCGATAAAATTAATTGATATAGAATTTATATTTTCAATCCTTATATATCATCGTTTTCTTTTACTAAGATAGAAGACATGAATAAGAAGCACTAAATATAGTGATGGAATCCCCTATAAATGAAGAAATTATTCAAAAGGTGACGAATATGCTCATTGAAAACGAACAAAATCCAGAGAACTGTCTCTTCAGGAGAGACATTTCAAGCAAGTCACCTTGTTATATTATAAGAAGGTATTGAATACAGTAGTCTGAAGACAGGGATTTTATGGGTTAACCAAGATTATTAATTTATTGATCATTCATTTATCGAGGTTTTACTCTAATTTACCTGCAAAAGTTCTTCAAAAACATCTTCTAGTGTGATAATACCAATCACTTCACCATCTTCAATATCCTCTGATGTGACAGACAATCCATTTGTTGCAGCATCTTGCCTGATTGTATTGGTAGCTCGTGACGACTTATCGATGTCAACAACAATGCTCTCTGGCTTCTCATCCAGTTTGGACAGCAGCGGAGTAGTCAGTTGGGAATCTGCACTTGAGACTTTGTTTTCTTCAGATTTTAGTTCATCAAGGGTTGGAGGAAGGTTCTTATTTTTTCCTTTAGCCTTCACAACAGCTGCCATATGACTGCTGCCCTTTTGAAACTCATTCAAAATATCATAGAGAGGCATGTCAGATGGAACCCTGTCAAACATCCCGAACATGAACACTAAACTAGCTGGATATTTTATACTTGCACAGAAATAATAAGCATATATCAATAAGTAAGAAACCTTGGGATTCTCCGGATGGAAACTGCACTGACTGGTGTCTCAGTTTCAGGGCGTACAGTGAGAAGACTTTTCACCTTATTCCAATTTCAATTAAAAAAAAAGATTCCATGCGAGTAATAAGCAAAGTAACCAACAAGATCAGAATAGCTTTAGACCCAAATGCATGACTGCTATGAGACCTTATCTAACGTTTAAAGTCTAACACATACCAGAAGAAGTCCAATAATATTTTTGGGATTCCCGAGTAGACAGGGACCCGGCTATGACCACGAGCAAGGATCTTACCCATTGCCTCCCTGGAGTAGTTCATTCAAGATTAAAGATCAGATAGAGAGAGATGAATGAGAAATTTATTACATAAATTCTTTTAGCATTTCAACTAAGATTAAGGAAACAACACAAAAGGAACAGATTCGACAGTTATATTGGACTTCATTGACACATATAAAGGCTTTTATAATAAAAACTAATCATATAAACATTAATGAACAGGAATTAGTTAATAAGGAAAGTATAAATTGCTCATGCACTTGCAAAGAATAGGATAAGGAAGAAAGTTTTAACATGTTAATCTTTCTTTATGACAGATCTGGAGGAGCGTATTAGTAGTATCAAATACAAACTTTAGCACTACAAATGATTGATGCATTGATCCTTCTTATATCAAACTACAATATGAATTAAGGAGAAAATATTACCAGTCCAACTTTGAATTGACATCTAAAGAGAAAGTTGATTCTATAGGTGTCATAGCCTCTTCAGCAGTCTGTCCAAGTATTATAACAGAACAGGAAAAATTAGTTAAAGGTGCCAAGGAAAATTGAGAAATCGATTTGAACTGATCCTAATGAAGCAAAATGACAGAAAGAATATGTAAATTCTATAGTTTATACTAATTCATAATATTCCACTTTTGCACAGTACGTGGCCACTATATCATTAACAGTCATCAACCACATCACCTCTGTAGAAAGAGATTTTAACTTATGAATAACATCACTTTTGCCTCTGTTTTGATGATTTAGCAGTTTTTCACTGCTTTCTAGAATGAAAAAAAATCATTTATCCAAAAAATGATAATACTACTTTTTCATGACGCATACCTTTTCAGTCAAATCTAGTGCTCCACTAATAATTGTTGTCTCATCATGCGTGAGCTCACCTCCTTTGCCAGCCTAAATAGTTAGACCAAGAAAAAAAAACTCTTCATTGTGAAGAAAAAGAAATGAATGTAACGGTAATCTTCTGCCATTTATAGGACTCTTCAAAATTTAGCAAACTTCTATCACGAGATTATATCATGTAATGTGCAGCGACATCAAATTGATTTACCTCCTGGCTATGGATGGAAACAAGGGCTTTTAGTTGAGCCCGCCTAAATAGTGCTTCATTATGCCCCAGAACCCAATCAAGAATCTGGAAAGTATATACAACTTTAGTGCTTCATCAATTATAATGGTCTATTAAAACTACACAAATGGAAAAACAGACAAGCTTTAACAGGAACTATTGCTGTCAAGGCATGCGCCTAGGCATTACACCTTGGAGTCAAATAAAAAAAGCACCTCAAGCCAATTCAGGCAAGGAGCATTTAGTCAGGCTTATGCCTTGTGTGACTATGTGGGCTTTTTAGTAAGGCAATAGGCACAAGAAGCCCACCTGATTAAAGTTCTATTTTATTCTTATTTTTAACTTTTTTATTAGCTATACGTTTACTATTAAGAAATAGGATAATATAAACATCTTTACTCTCAATATTTGAGTATTGAACAACAGCCTTGAGACAATAAGGAAGACATGCATATCAGCAAGAAAAGAAGAAAGAAAAGTTGCATTGCATGGTTTGCAGATGAAACTAAATGTATAGAGTTTATTTCCACAACCATATAGCTTAAAGTTATTATTCTATAAGTACATAGTCACATACAAAAGTATCATAGACATATTTGTGCCTTATTTACTTAGACGAGCGTTTTTTTAGAAACCTTGATAACAGAAATATGTTTAGACTTGATCTTCTCTTCCATTTCCTTCTTTTATCAGATGGGGGTGGGAAGGGGGAAATGAATGTTTCATTCACACAAATAGAGGAAAGCAAATGAAAGAAATGACCAATCTCCCTGATTCTACCACCTCCCTATTCCCCCTGCTACATGATTTCCACCTTCTAGATGGAAAAGAGTCGAACTGAAATACTTGCATAAACTCAGATAGGGAGAAAACCCATACCACCTCACATTTGAACCTTGATGTTCCCCCAAAGGAAATAATCAGGAAAGAACAAGAACGTTATAACAGGCAAATCATAGAATACATTTAGATAAAATAGGGAAGTCGTCACTATTTTTTGTTAGGTATGGTTAGCCATTTATATGAATTTAAATTTTATAAATAAATCTTTTTATAAAATTTTATTATCTATTCAACATTAAAAATTTTCTTAAATTTCACTTTCAGAAAATACATCTTAGATTTCTTTCCAACCATTTTGACAAGAATTCATGAATTTTCTCATTTCAAGAGTACAACACGTGTAATGATGGCCTTCGAGAACTTACCTTTCCAATGGGATAAGCTATTGGATAGCAAAGAATCATTAATATCCGCAAGGCCTGCAAGATTTGCACCTACAGAAAGTCCATATCTTGTGCATATTGCTTGTGGAATAACCTGAAAAGCAAAAGAACTAACTTTGGTTGAGGAATCAAAGGTTCAATTCAAGCTTAAATAATACAATAGTTGAACAGCCTACCTCACCAAAAGCTAGAACAAAAGTCACAGAAAGTATGATAGCAACATATTGATTGAAAAGCTTATCCAAGTATAGGTAGGGCCTGCAAGTAGTAAATATTAAGGCTGTCAACGAAAGTCAACCTTCTCTCAAACATCCTTAGAATATGAAATACAAGGTAAATTTCAAAGTAATACTTG